CATTTTGGGGAAAAAATCATTTGATTAGGGCTAGTTCTCCTGCCTACAGGCCAGCTATGGCATTCTGAGACATAATTCCATTTTGGCCCCCGGTCACAACTGAGACCTCAATGATCCGGTGATGCTGTGATTCCCCAGGACAAGATTACACCAGTTGAAGACATCCTGGGAGGAACAGAATCTTCGTCTACTCAGTTCCTCATTGTCCTTGGATTTCTGCTGCCCCCCAGTCATTTGTTACACTTTGTTTATCCCCATGTACTGAACTCTCTGTCCTGAGTCATTTGTTACATCTGTTTCTCCTGATGTACTCAATAGAAGGTGCAGTAAGCTTGGAGGCTTTCATCTTTGCCGCCCAAAGCAGTGCTGATCAGACCCAAAGCTCAGCTTCTTCTCAAAGTCTCCTTTTTCTACCTTTCCCGTATAATAAGTCAATTCGCCTTGTGCTGCCGTGACTTGCAGGAGACCAAGAGTCACTGCAGAGGTCCTGGTAACTTCTCCTTCCCTGCTCTCTACAAGTGCGTCTCAGGGGGCCAAAGGGGCTGCGCTGTGGAAGCCTGGAGACCAACACCCAAAGGGGACAGTGGAGACTGCAGCTCCTCTGGAGAGGCACAATCAAGACTTCCTTCTTTCCCTTTTCATTCCATCCAGGCTGCAAGCCCATTGGTTGGAGCCACCCACACCCAGGGTGGGACTTCCTCCTTCCATAAGTCAATCATCCAGACACAGCAGAACTGTGCTGGACCCACCAGCTAGGTGCTTCTTATTGGGGTTGACACCACAGCTGACATCTGCTCTGTCACTGTGCATCCCGATGTTCAGAACAGTGTGCCTGGGACTGGGCCCCCACCTTGTGCACATGAAGCAGGAGGCACTGGCTTTGCAGACTGGTCACAGCCGCAGCCCCTGATGAGTGCGTAGGTAGGAGAACAAAGGAAGAAGCGAGCTTGGGACGAGGCAGGCTTAGGAGAAGCCAGAGCTCAGAACGGGGATCCGGCTCCAGGAGGAGAGAGGGGGCTGACGCTCACCGCAGGGCATCTTGCTCTGCACCACTTGCCTGTGGTCTCTTAGGGCTCAGGACACTCTCGGCCTGCAGCCCCAGCTCGCCCAGCAGCACTCAACAATTACCGGCAGGGAGAACCCTTTCACTTGGCCTCAGAGGACTGGGGAGATGGCCCTGAGGACCCCTTCTTCCCGTGAGTCCCTGGGGAGGAAGCGTGCTGGTGGGGCACACGGTGCTCTCAGTCAGTGCCTCTCCCCGCACAGGGATGCTGGGGCCTCCCCATAGCAGTATCTCAACCTGGACGGCCCGAACTCCCCCTTCCTGTACAACCGGGCAGGCAGGAGCCTGTGGATTTCCATGACCCCTCCAGAACCCGCCTGCTTGGGCTGGACCACCTTCGGGGGCCAACACCTGCCCTGATCATGTGCCACTAATCAGTATTTCCCCTTCCTCCCTCTCCCGGGGTTCCGGGAAGGGCTGGACTTGGAGCTCGAGCTGGCCGGCCTTGAACTGCTCCCTGGGACTGCCCTTTGCTCTCCTTGGCTGCCTCTTCCTCCTCCCAGATGCCCCCTGCTCTCACTGAAGCCCTATCTATCTATCTATCTGTCTGTCTATCTGTCTATCTGTCTAATCTATCTGAGACAGGGTCTCAGTCTGCAGTTCAGGCTGGCCTTAAACTCATGGTGATCCTCCTGCCTCAGCCTCCCCAATGCTAGGATTACAGGGATGCACTGCCATGCCCCCAAGCCCCTTTCTCATGGCCTGTCCAATCCTGCAGCTTCGGGTGTCCTTGTCGCACGAGTTGCTCAAACACCGCTGTCATCCTGCCCTGGCCACCAGGCACTTGCCTTGTACCCGCTGTGCTTGCAGGACAAGGTCTGCTGCAGACCTGGGAGTGGTGGGGGCCGCAGCTGCCATGGCTGCACGGTGGAGCTTTCTTCTCCTTGCAGAAGCCCCGTGGCGCAGGCCTTGGCGCTGTCACACATTCGCTCTGGATTAGGGGTGTTTCTGTGCCATCTCCCTAACAGGCAGGGAGCTCCGTGGGGCAGGGGCAGGACCCTTGTGAATTCTCTTCCTACTTCCTGGCGCAGTACTTTCTGTGTAGCAGGCGCTGTAAGGATGCTCAGTAGAAGAAGGCAGGTGTATTGACTGCAGCTGGCTTTTTAAGCCCACATGCTGCTTCCTTGGAGCCCCAGGCCGAGTGCTGAGCCCCCTTACCTGGCTGGGAGCTCACTCATGCAGCCAGGCCGTCTCCCCAACGCCTGCGCCCCCCTTCAATTGCTGCTGACCGTTTGCCTGCTTTGCACTCCACCCCGGTGCCACTGCAGACATTTGCATGGCCTGACCACATCCAGGAGCGGGTGGCAGGGATTTTTGGGTCTCTCAGTGCCTTGCAGGAGTCCGGGAGAGCAGAGATGGCGAGACAGAGGGGCTGGGCTCCGGGGGAGGCTGCCAGGGCCTCCTGGGCTGCCCCCAGGGCTTCAAGGAAGCAGCAAAGCCCAGGTGACCAAAGCTCAGCACATGTGTGGCCGTGTGCTGATGGAGATAGTGGTGTGGCTGGGTGTGCGTGTGTGTGTGTGTGCGTGTGTGTGCGTGTGTGCATGTGTATGTGTGTGTGTGGCCAACGAGTCATCAGGGAGGCAGAGGCCCGAGTTGCTCTACTCTTCCCTGAACTCTTCCTGTTGGGCTGCCAGACACAGCGGTAGATTGCCCAGCAGATCGAAAACCGAGGGTTCAGGGAGAAGCCTGCCCAGGTATGCTCCGCCCAGGGCAGCCGCATGCCTGGGCCTCTAACCTGCTACTCAGGAAAAGCACAAGTTGTGTTTCCTCCCGAGGCAGGTGGGAGTTTAAAAGCTGCTTTTGCTAAAAAAAGCAAAAACCAGAAACCCAGTGACCCTTCACTTGGGGCCACAGATGCCCAGTGGGGAAGGAAAAGCAGAGCAAAGCTGGACTCTCATGTGGCGTCTGTCTAGCACTGAGGGCCAGATCCCGCACCACTGTGCGTGCGGGCCCCTTCGTTATTTGCAGTCTGTCTGTCCAAAAATTGGCAATTTGAGGCTGACTAGCCCTGCATTTTATTATTGTTATTCTTTTGTTTTTGGTACCAGGGATGGAATTCAGGATTTTTCGCTTGTGAGGCAGGCGCGGTGCCACTAAGCTAAATCCCCGGCCCTGACTAGCTCCGAATTTACACAACCTGCATCACCCACCCCCCACAAGGCTAAAGACAAGACGTGAGAGATTTACAGGGACCTTCTACTTCCCAGAGACACCCACAAGCTTCCAGTCACAGCCCCAAACCTGTGGACACCCTGGATCCAGCAGTGCAGCCCCAAAACGGACACAGTCATCTCAGGACAGCCGATTGGCCTGTTGGCTGATCAGGACTTCTCTCCAGCTACCTCGCAAACCCGAACTCAGAGCATGACCAGCCAGGCCCCAGCCCACCTCAGCCACTCCACGAAAACTGGTCTCCTTCCTTTGTGGACAGGCCAGTTTGATCCTCTCCGTCAGAGCTGAAGTTCCTCCCTGTTTTCTCTTCCTTTCTAACTCTGCCTAATAAACCAGCTTCTGCCTCTCACCCATGCGTCCTGAAATGCTTTTCTGCAATGATACTGCAGAACCTGTGGGGCCACGTTGAGCTCGCTGTCTCCTTGTTGGGACCACCTCAGATCCACCTGGTGGCAGGGCTTTGGCTCCTGAGTCTGTCCCCAAGCCTGTCCCGGGCTCTCCAGAAATCCTCGCCAGGCTGCCAGTTTCTTGCTGGGACCCCTCGCGTGCTCAGGGAAGTGGGCAGTCTTAGGAAGCAGCTGTGTTGAGCTCAGGGGTCAGACTGCAAGTGGTGGGCATAGAGGTGAATGGAGAGACAGCACCTGCCAGCTGCAGAGGGCAGAAGGCTGGGCTGAGAAGGGAGCCGCAGCAGAAGGCTGGGTGAGGCTGGAAACAGACCCGGTGGGAGCAGGGAAGGGGGCCGGAAGGGTCAGCTCCCTTGACATTCGAGTAGAGAAACATACATTCATCAGGCAAACAGAAACTTTTCAACTAGAGTGGCCATTGAGAGACACGAACTAGTGTTCTCAAGGGGAACTTGAGCTGCGCTTGAGAACCGTGATAGAAGCTGCAGGAAACCCAGTAAGGGCACCGAAAACAAATACTCCAAATGATCTAGAGGACCGACGGATGTGGTAGCTGAGAGCCAACTCCAGAACCAGGCCTCCTGGTGTCCAATTCTAGGTGACATTGGGCATCTTAGCCTCCTTATGCTTTAGTTTTCTACTCTAAAAAATGGGGCCAGCCCAGTCCAGGGATGCATACCTGTAATTCTAGCTACGGGGGAGGAGGCTGAGATGGGAGGATCATAAGTTTGAGGTCATTCTGAGCAAGTTCTTGGGATGCTGGCTCAAGTAAGCTAATAAGGGCCAGGAAGCAGTGCTGTGGTAAAATGCTTGCCTAGCATCCGTGAGGCCCTGGGTTTATTCCCTAGCAACACACACTCGCACACATGCACACACACACACACACACACACGAGTGGTAATAATCATGCCTACTTCATTAGGTATCACGAGGATTAAATGAGTTAATATATGTAGAGAAGTCGGTGCAAAGCCTGGCACGTAGTAGGCATCATGTAAGCATGTGCTGCTATTGTAATTGCTTTTATTATTTGGAATCAACACCTAGGACCCTCTATTTAAACTCTTGCTACTTAAAGGTTTGGTCCACTGACCAGAAGCATCACTGGAACTAGACCTGAGATTATAGGGCTCAATCCTGGATGTTCCGAGTTAGCCTGAGCTTGGCTAGAGCCCCACGGGCATTTGTGGAGCACCCCCGAGGCCACACACAGACACCAGACAGAGGAGGCTCTTTGGGAAGGAGGTCAACAAGGCAGGGTGCCTGGCCTGGGCTCCTCAGGGCCTGCAAAGTCCTTGGGCCATGCAGATGTCATAGGCACTTAACAGGAGGCAGTGCTGCTGTCCAAGCCCAGCAGGGCCCTACACATCCGTGTGCCGGGACAGCCTGGTGCCTGGGGCCACCATGGGGCCGCGGTGGCTGAGGCCAGCTCCCCAGAACCCAGGGGAGGCAGCAAGCTCCAGCGGTGGCTTGCCGGAGTACCAGCTGCTCAGGAGGCCGTCCACCTGCTCCCGGCTGCAGACTGCCCGCAGGTGGGCCTTCCTGCACCTGCCGTCTGGGTCCTCTGGGTCCTCGGGGAGCAAAGAGGGCTTGGCAGGCTCAGGACTGGAGCCCGAGGGCATCTGGCGCAGCCCCCAGGCCCGCAGCTCACCCCGCATGCTGGCAAAGAAGTGCAGCACGCAGCGGTGTGCGAAGTCCCGCGCGTGCTCGCAGCAGGTCTCATCAAAGAGCTTCTGCTCCAGGTCCACGTAGTTGCTCCAGTATCGGCGCTGTAGGAAGACTGTCTGGTCGAAGCAGGGCCTCAGGCAGCGGGCCAGGAAGGCCACCACGATCAGCAGCAGGGTGAGGCTCCAGCCGATGGCCTGGGGGCCGAGGAGGCAGGGAGCGGGCACGGTGGGCAGTGGTGCTCCGGAGCCCTTCCCTTTGTGCCCCTCAGGTCAGCACCTTCCTGGTCAGCCACCGTCCTCTGTCTGAGCCGTCCCCACCCGACCCTTGGGCCGACACCTTCCCGCCTGCCTGCCCTGCCTCCCTCCTCTCCGCTGTCCGCCTCTCCTCCCATTCTTTCCTGTGTCCTTACCTCTGTCCTTTCTCCTTAGGGTCCCCCGCCCATGAGCCACCCGCTCGTCTTCTTATCCAGTTCTTCATCCTCCTCACTGGTGTCCCCCCGCCCAGCCCCCATGTGTGTGTCCAGCCCTGCCGTGTTGCGTGGGAGGCCGGTGCCAGCAGAGGAGCCAGGACGCGTTCCGGGCCGGCAGTGAGGGAATCCGGGCTGCGCCTGCGCCTGGCAGTGCGCACCCCTCCTCTTGCAGGGCTACCACGTAGCTATGGCCCGGAGCTGCATCCCACCTGCAGCAGGGAAGTTGCTCCCAAACCACAGGCCCTGCAGTCCTTGCTATCTAGTCGCGATTCACACAGCTCGCTCGTTTGGCCACACACAGGACCCTCCTGCCTCAAACTTGAGCTGAGCGTTTTATACACAGGGAGCAGAAGAGCAGAGCACTCGCCGAGCTCGACCACCAACGTACAGCTGCTGAGTCGAGATGCAAAGCCTGGTCTGACTGCGTGTTCTATGCTTAGGCTGTGGAGCGAGGAAGAGCCTGGAGCGCTAAAGCCCACAGGGACCATCGTGGTGGGAGAGGAAACTAACCTTTATTTTGAAGGAGAAACTGAGGCACAGTGCCACAGGGGAGGTCACAGTCTGAACCAAAATCAAGCTTGTCCTGAGTCTGGTCCCCTCTCCACACTGCAGGCCTCTGTTTGCCATGAGCACGTCTGCCTCCCCAGAATGGCAGGGCTTGCGTTCCTGACCTCAGCCTGGTGTGCTCCATATGCAGCAGGCTCATACAGTATTCTTTAAAAACAGTTTTTTTTTTTTGAGATAGAGTCTTGCTATGTAGTTCAGGCTGTCCTTGAACTCATTATGTAGCCTAGACTGGCCTCAAAGTTACGGTGATCCTCCTGCCTCTGCCTCCCAAGTGCTAGGATTACAGGTATGTACTCCCATAATGATCTTTCACAGGCACAGCTCATCTTGGCCTCTGGGAGTAATGGGGATGGAATCTGGTGTCTGAGTGGGGCCTGGGGTGGGCTTGCTCTCAGGGTAATGGAGTGGGCATCTGGGGAGGTCTTCACTGTGTATTCCATCCCTGCCCTGCCTCTTACTCCAGGAGCTGTGCGATGCTGGCCTCCAGTGCTTTTCTGCAGCCCGCCTCCTTCGGACAGGCTTGGCTGATGCCCAGGAGGTTCTGGCCCCTGGTGCCTGTCTTCCTATCTTGGAGTGAGTCAGTATTGAAGACCCAGTGCTACCTTCCTGGGAGGATCTGCTGTCCTGACCTCGCCCCCCACTGCCTGAACCTCCTGCTCTTTGGTTCTGTCTCCAGCAGAGAGGAGGATCCTCAAGAAATCATGTGGACCTGGCCCAGTCCCTCTGCCAGGATGCAAGGGCTGTGGGAGACATCCCCGATTACCTGTGACAGGCACCGCAGGTACCGGGACACGGCCTTCCGAGCAGGGCTGTCCCTGACCAGCTCATCCTCCTTGCAAGGCACTTTGGCCAGGAAGAGCTGCACCTGGCTGGAGGTCATGTTGGCAAAGTCCAGAAACTTCTCTGGGTCCACAGAGTTGCTGAAGGCGCACACGAAGCACTTGCCATCCAGGAGTGCCAGCAGGATCCAGACCAGGGGTGCGGCCAGTGCTCTCTGCAGCATGGAGGAGCACATGTACCTGGAGGCAGAGGGGAGAGGAGTCAGCCCTGGCTGGCACCTTCCTACTGTGAGCATGGCGAAGTCGCTTCACCTCTCTGTGCCTCCAGTTCCCTCTCCTTACAAATGGGTCCAACCAGGGAGCAGCCTGGGGCCGAGAAGAGGACGCAGGGGGGCCGCACTCACTCCAGGGGTGGGCAAGGCCGCTGGGTGAGCCTGATGGACGTCCCAGCTCCATCAGCTGATTTTGGTACGGGGCACCCTGTGTGTGCCAGGCCCTGGGGACACAAGGGTGAGGGAGAAGGGGATAGGTGTGGTCCTTGCCCGAGGGGAGCTTTTGAGAGAGGAGATGCAGTCTCTGCAAACCACTGCCTCTCACTATATGAAAACCCGCCATGGCCCTTCGTGCATGGACCAACTTATAGTCTATGGCCAGTGTGACAGAGGTGGCCCAGGGAATTCCTAGAGCCCTGTGTCACCAATGTTTACAGCACTGGCCATGGAGAGGTGACAAAGGACAGGGACAGAAATATGTCCCAGACGGAAACTGGCAAAGGTCTCTGTGATGATTCCAGCTTGGAGAAGAGAGAGGCACCAGAAAGCACCTTGGGCTGGGAAGCACCCCCCATGCCTGCGGGTCGCCCAGTGGCTCGGGACTGCACCTGATGATGCCCAGGTCCTTCCCTCGGTGCCCCACCGGCCGGCACCACTCATCGACCATCACCGCGGACTGCCGGTTGACAAGGAGGCCACAGAGGAAGAGGGCGAGCGGTGGCAGAAGCAGCAGCCCGAGGCCGTAGAGGGCGTTGTATTGGGCCAGGCAGGGGCAGCTGAAGTCGCAGGAGGAGTAGAGCTTGATGGTGAGGGCGGCCAGCAGCAGGCACAGACCGTTCGTCACCGACTCTGAGCTGGACTGGAAGTGCTGGAAGAGCGAGCGGAACCGCTCCATGGCAGCCGGCGCGGGCACAGGCCTGGGCTCCAAGGAGGCTCTTTTGCCCTTTCCAAGAGCCTGTGGGGGCCCAGTGGGAGGCTTCGTCCAGCCCGAGGCCTGGGCTCCAGGGTCCCGCAGAGGGCCTAAGGCAGAGGAAGGCTCTCTGCGAGCAGTAGTCCTCCCGCCACTGCCTCCTCTGCTCTGTGACCAGCCAGCCAAAGCAACCCTAGGCAAATGGGCACCACCCTGCCGCCCCACCTCTCCCGGCCCATTCCTCCCCTGAGTTTGGATCCTGAGCCAGGCAGCTGGTGCCTTCCCTCGGGCACAGGCAAATTCTGGGCTCTGTAAGGCAGAGCCCAAGGGAGCCAACTGTGTTTTCCGGTCTGGGTCACAACTGACTTGGCTCAGCTCAGCCCGAAGACACGTCCTGGGGGCTCAGACTGGGCTGCAGCTGGAGGGGCGCTTGTGCCTGGCCGAGGTCTTGCAGGAGCAGGAGGCCCTGGGAAGGGTCCGACAGACCACTAGGAAGGCTCTGGAGGCCCAGTGCGAGCCTGCCTCCTTCGCCCCTTGTCACCGCCCGCCCAGGTCTGCTGCATGCAGCACAGGCTCCTCCCACCGCACTCCTCTCACGTGCGCCCAGGCCTCCCACGGCCTCTGAGCTCGGCGCTCAGTGTGTCTTCCCACCTTGCACGGCCGCACACACCACTGTCACCCGCTGGGGGCCCCGTCTCTCTCCCACTGCTGTCCACGAGGTGGCCCAAGTGCCCGGGTGACCTGGCTGTGCAGGGCCTTGTCTCCTGCCCAGCCCTTGGAGCGGCTGCCCCTGCTGTGAGCGTCTTCCCCAGGTGTGGTTGGGACCCCAGTGAGGCCAGGGACCCAGGCCTGCACCTTCCAGATAGCAGCAGCTGTTAGGGGGTTTTTTTGGTACCAGGGATCGAACTCCGGTCCTTGTGCTTGCGAGGCAGGCGGCAGAACCACTGCGCTAAATCCCTGGCCCAGTAGATGTTAGTTTTAATGACACCGATGCTCAGACACCTTTTGCTTCATCTTCAGCCCTGTGCTCTCTTCTGACCTGTACCCACCTCCGAGTCTGCTCCCAGGAAGCAAATGAATGGGATTCAGGCCATAGCTTCAATGTCTGTCTCTCTTTTTCCTTTCCTTGCCTGTCTGAGTCTTTCCCTCTGTCTCGCTGTTTTCCTGTGTGTCTCTCTGTGTTCCTCAGTCGGCATTTGAGTCTCCATGTCTCCCTGTCTCTGTCCCTCTGTGTGCCCTTGCCTCTTCCCTCTATCTTTCCCTCCTGGCACTGCTGTTGCCTGGCCCTGTTTCTGCCCAAGGAAGAGCAGGGGCAGCCAGAGGGACCTGGGTCTCTTCCTGGCCTGGAGGAGGGGAGGGTGGGTCGGACCCCACTATCCAGGCTCTTCCCCGGCCTCCGTCTCTGCAGCTCCCTCACACCGAGCCCAGGGCCACTGCTGGGTAGGGATGACCTCGGTGCTAGGGATGGCCTTGATCCCCTGACCCTGCTCCGTGCAGGCGGCCAGGCTGACACCGCCTCCAAGCTCCGGCGTGCTCCTAGTCAGCTGCCCGCGTCAGCGTCGCCATCCCTTTCTAGGCACTGGGTCCTCACAGTCAGCTGCACCTCCCGCTGTCCCCTGGTCTCACCAGACGAGCGTCCTCTGAACTGCTCCATGCTAAGGCCCGGGCCACACTCGACCCTGTGCAGCTCTGCCCAGCCACTGGGCGGTAGTGTGGCGCCCAGCCTGCCTTCCATACTCTCGCACAGCATTTAGAAAATGGAAAATCCCCATTTTTCTTCTGATTATTATGAGCAATAACATTATTTATGAGCAATTGATCAGGGTGCATGTTGTGTCCCTGTGGCCACACACGTAGAGTCTGTCTGTCTGCAGTGGCGTGTGTCCTAGGTGCAGGTCAAGGTTCCTGGCTGGGGCTGGCTGGCCTGCCGGGATTGCTTGGGGCCTCACACCTGCTCCACCTGGGGCGACCCAGAGCCATTCTTCTCCCAATGCAAGACATCACACTCTCTTGGCGTGCCTGACTTTCAGCTTTTCCAGAGGATGACAGCCCTCTTGCTGTTGAAGGACCCTGGCACCTACAAAAGCAATTTGGTAGGTTATTTAGCCTGTGGCTTACTCAGACCACCCCAAATCTGTCCTACGTATTTCATAAGGCAGAGCTAGGTTGCCTGGGCTAGCCTCAAGCTCCTGGGATCAAGTGATCCTCCTGCCTCAGCCTCCCAAGGAGTTGGGACCACAGGCATATACCACCATGCTTGACTCTCATTTGGGGAAAAATTTAAAAATTCACAGTTATTTATTTGTGGTAGTGCTGGAGGTCAAGTCTAGAGCCTCAAGAATGCTAAGCAAGCACTCTACCTCTGAGTGGTATCTACAGCCTTTACGTTTTCTTTTTCTCTTTTTGGGAATGGAGTGGGGTGGGGTCTTGCTAAGTATAGTTTAGGCTGGCCTTGAACTCATGGGGATCCTGCCTCAGTCCCTCCAGTGCTGGGATTACAGGAATGCACCACCATGCCTGGCTCACATTTTCTTTTTAATGATGACTTATAAAAATTTGGGGTGAGCCAGTTGTAAACATGCAGTGACTTGGAAGACGTTTATAGAATAAGTCTTTGGTTTCTATCTTTGTTTTTCCCTTGGAATCTTGCAGATATATTCTTGGGGCTGGATGTCTTCTAATTTTTTTTGTTATGCTGTGTTTTTGCCTTTTGTTTGCCTTTAAAAGGAATCTGAATATTATTGAGAGACATTGGTCTTGCCATTGGTGGTTGCTGTTAGCGAGAGGACTGGGCGCCCCCTTCTGGAGAGATGAGCATATCTCCTGCGAGTGATGCCTGTGTGTGCATGCAGGGGTGTGTGTGTAGATACTTTGTGTGTGATGGGTGTGCGTCTGTATTCAGAAACACACTTGTGTTTGTGTCACTACTTCGTATGTACTGGGTACGCTTTCCACTGAGGTTTCTCTTTCCTTTTCTCCTGGGAGACTATTGCTTCCTCTCGTCTGTCTGTGTGGCTGGATTCTCAGCTACTCTGAGGACAGAGGCCTTCCCTCTCCTGGCAGACCTGGGGGAAGGTGACAGTGGGAGGGGGTTGTCTGCCAAGCAGCACAGGGACAACTGGATAATCACCCGGCAACAAGTTAGACCCAGTTCCCACTTCATTCTTTATACCCAAATAACTTCCGCATGGTTCAAAGATCTAAACAAAAAAATTAAGTGATGAAAATTTGACAAGAAGCCCACCTGTAATCCCAGCACTGGGAGGGGCTCCGGGAGGGTCAGGATCAGGTGTTTGAGACCAGCCCAGATTCAACAGTGAGATCTTGTCACAGAACAAAAGCCCACAACCAAAAGTGACAAGAAAACATAGGTGGATTTATTCGTGGTCAGAGGTGGGGAAGGCCGTTGTGACCAGAGCCCAGCACTCAGTAGCTGTGGAGAAGGATAACATAGACCTTGAAAAAACTAGTAATATCTGTGGGCAAAAAAGTCCCAATGAAAGGACTAAAAACAATAAACTAATAAAAAAGTATTTGCTGCACCCATACCGCAAAAAAGCCATTTCCCCTGCTTTGCAGGAGGCTCATGTGAAGCATTACAAAAGATGAACAATCCTCCAGGAGAAAACAGATGAAGGGTGTGAACGGGCTATCCACTGAAAAAGAAAGACAAGTGTCCAGAAGTCTTGCAAAGATTTTGATCTTCATTCAAGATTAAATGGGGCTCGGAACAAACACATCCTGGTCATTTTAAATGAATTTAGTTATTAGAAACTAAAATGCTGATAACACCTAGCACTGGGGTGGGGCAGGGAGAGAGCCGGTCTCCCACACTGATGTTCGGAGTACAACATGTAGGGCTTTTAGGACATTTGCCAGTATACTTAAGCAAAATTTGAAATTTTTAGCTAGTAATCACACAGCTCTGAATTTTTTCCAGAGGTAGATGTACAGGTATGACCAAGAGACACTCACAAAGGTGTCCATTACTACTTTGTTTTCATGGCAACAAAACTTGAAGCAGCCAACATTTCAATTAGGGCATTGTTTAAATAGAATATGGCACAGCCATAAAATGAGAGTTGTGCAGGTGTTAACAGAATACAGATCTATGTGTGTTCATGTGAAAAGACCGTTAGTGGACTCTGATAAGCTAAGAAGGCACACTGTAGTGTACTGTGCATGGTGCCAACCCATATATGTATATATAGCCTTGGCTTTGTGTGTTTGCTGGAAAGATACACAAGAGATGTAGATAGTTGTAGGGCTGGGGAAGTAGCTCAGTGGTTTCGCCACCTGCTGCACAAGCTCAAGGATCCAAGTTCGATCCCCAGTACAAAAAAAAATGTACAATATAACTTTCATCTTTAAATTATTATTAGATATTATCTGGCTAGTGGGCTTATGGATTTTTAGGTTTCAAGGTGTAAATAGACAAATGTTCTTTTTAAAAATTAGGATTAAAATATTATTGACACAAAATAAAATAATCAACTTCAAACTGTAACATTTCTTTCTTTCTTTCTTTCTTTCTTTCTTTCTTTCTTTCTTTCTTTCTTTCTTCCTTTCTCCCTTTCTTTCTACAAGATCTCTCTATGTGGTCCAGGCTGCTCAAGGACTCACTATGTAGTCCAGGCTGGTTTCAAACCCACAGAGATCCTCCTGTCTCAGCCTCCCAAATGCTGAGGATTACAGGCATGAGCCACTACACCTGGAGCTCATTTAAATTCCTGATATTTATTCCACAGACAACAGAATGCAGACTCAGTTTCCCTCACTCAAAATTCATTTTTAATTCCCTTTTTCCAGAAGAAGAGACAAATAAGTCTGGATTTTCTCCTCGTTTCTCCCTCTCCTGACTAAGGAGCTGTAAAGGTGGAATTATACGACCAGACTAAGGTGAAGTTGTTTCCTGCTGCTGCTGAGTGGGGCTGTTTGGGGGCCCAGTGGTTCTTTCTTCTTTCTTCAGTGGAACTGAGCTTTAC